TGTAGAACAAACATCATTAACAAAACAACTATCAGTTATGTAAAAGGTAACAAGCATTTGCAACAACCAATGAACACCAATACTTCAGTAACTATAAACACTAAAGAAGCATTACAAACCAAACATCATATAATGTTATTGTTATGACAGAAGTAACACGACAGTTAGCAAAATTTGAAACATGGAACTAGATGAAAGAAAAGCACAAACCTGAGTCTGCATCAAGAGGTTGTTAACAGTTGCACCACCATCCACTCTAAGCAAGGATTCCTCTTTGGAATCTTGTGTTGAATCTTTGTGCATTGAATCCAAGACATCTTTCACTTGGAATCACATGCTCTCAAGCACGGCTCGAGCAATGTGGGCTTTGTTTGTGATCCTTGTCATTCCAACAATAACACCACGAGCATCATCACGCCACCATGGAGCAAACAATCCACTAAAAGCAGGAACAAAGTAAATCCCACCAGTGGAATCAACCTGTAATGCCAGCTCCTCTATCTCCGAAGCAGAGGAAATGAGGCCAAGACCGTCTCTAAGCCATTGCACTGCAGCTCCAGCAATAGCGACTGATCCTTCCAATGCATAATTGGTTGGAGCATTTGGGCCAAGCTTGTAGGCTAATGTGGTTAGAAGACCGTGTTTTGATTTAACTATCCCTTCACCAGTATTCAGTAATATAAAAGCACCTGTGCCATAAGTGCTTTTAGCCTCCCCCTTACGGCATGATTGTCCTAACATGGCAGCATGCTGATCCCCTAAACATCCAGCAATAGGGATACCAGTAATTGGCCATCCAGCCGCAATATCTCCTATAACTTCACAATTACTAACAATTTTAGGCAAAATTTCAGCAGGAATTTTAAGAGTTTCCAATATAGTTTCGTCCCACTGCAGGGTTCTTAGATTCATGAACATTGTACGGGATGCGTTAGAAACATCGGTAACATGCAATCCCCCCTTTACGCCACCAGTTAAATTCCATATCAACCAAGTATCTATAGTTCCAAACAGCGCATCCTTTTTCTCTATAGCCTCCTTCACGGCACTCACATTTTCTATCAGCCACAGTAATTTCACTGCACTGAAGTATGTGCTAATAGGCAAGCCACACTTCTCCACAAAATGGGTTCTACCGCCAGATAACTCATTTTCCAGTCTCCTGTTTAAATAAAATCAGCATCTAATCCATGAACATGATTAACAGTTCTAACAAAACACAAAACGACAGCCCAAGAAAGAAAGAGTGGCCAACTCCAAACACCAACCATAAGTTGGACAGACATACATATACACAGTTATATACAAATGATGAAAAACTACCCCCACAGAATTATCAGTAAATGATTTCAGATTCTTGAGTACTACATAAAAGTATACTATACACGAGCGTTTCTGTTTCAATTCATGTTTGATCACATAAAACATAATTTGAGATAAATACAGTGATTTTCGAATGAAATGATCTTGATAGTTATACAAACAGACACTCCCATGTTTGGTTCCCCTTTTGAAAAATTAGTTATGAATTTCGAACAGTGCATATTCCCAACAGACGGATCCAGAATCACATGAAATTATGAGGGAAAAATTTAGAAAGCGAATCATAGTTTTATACAGAGAATAAGAAAAGAGGACCTGCAAATGGAAGAAGTACGACCATCCATCCAAACGATGGCGTTGTAGAAAGGGAGACCGGTGGATTTGCTCCAGACGAGAGCGGTTTCTCTCTGATTGGTGAGACCGATGGCCTTGAGTCCCTTGTCGACGTTGAAGCCATCGGCGGTGGCCTTGTCGACTGCTTTGGCCACGCACACCTTCACGCTCTCCAAGATCTCCATCGGGTCATGCTCCACCCACCCGGGTTGCGGGTAGAACTGCGTGAACTCCACGTGGTGGATTCCGATGGCTTTACTCGATCCGTCGTAGATTATGAACCTGCTGCTGGTCGTACCTTGGTCGATGGCGCCAATGAACACATCCTCGCACGACATCGTTTTCGATGTTGTCGATGCTTATCAACTCAAAAGAACACAACACAAAAAACACAACACAAAACCTTTGCCACTGCCAAACAAATCAAATGCCTCTGCGTTTTTTCAGTTTGATTGATTTATCAGAGTTGACCAGAACGCCACATCCAACACGGGTTCCTCGGAAAGCTGGTCCTTGTTTTTAGAAAATTGGATCATCGGTTTCAGAATTTATCCCTCCATATTATATTATATTATCCTATTTGTTACACCAAGCATTTCCGCATTAAAGGGGAAAATCAAGAAGATCCATGGATTCAAACAGAAAATATATGGATTATCTTATGTTCAATCCGTTATGACCAAACAGAGCATTTTATAAGACAAATGAAAAAGTTTAAATATATTTATATAATATTAATATTTTTTAAAACATACTATTATGTACTTTGTGAGTTAGGTTTCTTTTTTTAACCATGCGTATCACATATAATATTAATATTTTACTTATTTTAGTTATTTCCTTACATGTAATATTTATACTATTTATCTTTTGGTATGTGTATTTTTAAAATTTTATTTTTAATAAATGTTATCTTTTAAAACTAAAATAATTATTTTATCATTATTTAAGTGACAAAATATATATATATATATGAAAATGAATCGATCATATAAAAATCAGGACATTACGGATCAGTTTTATAAAATTGAACTAGATTTAAAATTCACGTATTAACACTTTTTTAAACAAATTAAAAATTATTTTCTACTTTTATAAATTTTAGTTACAGAATTTAATGTTGGAACAAAAATACATGAAAAATCATCCATGATTTTAGAAAATGAAAAAAAAAGAAGAAGAAACCAATTAAATCTGAAAATTGTTAATTTATAATCTTGAATTATAGAATTAATAAATTAACAAAATTACATCCAGAAAAATTATAACTAAGAATGACGTGAGTAGCGTCTAAAGTAATAATAACAAGTGCATAAAATAAAATGTGAAAGCGAAAAGTATGTGTTTGAAATATAATAAATTAATATTAAATTGAAAAAATAGTCACCAGTAATCATAGTGTACTGTATTAGTTGACTCATAAATTGCAGCAGTCGTTGTTGACTTACTTACCTAAAATATTATTTTCACTAATTTCCTTATTTTCTTATCAATATAAGAAAAGTGTTTATTAATATATTGATTTATTTTTATTACTCAGTTAATATATTTTTTAGAAAACAGACAAGTAAGTCTTATATTTTAATAGTAATAATAGTTCTAACAAACATATGATTTTTTTATTGACAGTTAACATAATAAATATCTTATATTACAAAAGAAATAAAATCTAGATAAAACTTTTACTTTTATTTCACAAATTAATACTAATTTTACGAATATGCATTAAAGTACTTACATAATTTTTAAAAAATAATAAAATGTTAATAATTAATCATTAAAAATGCAAAACCTTAAGGTGAATGTTAATTTGACACAAAACTCACATCAATAATTTAATGATTTCTTCACACATAAAATAAAATAAATAAATGTATTCTTTTCTTTAAAAAAAAAACTATATTGTAGCGCATGTTTAGAAAATAATTTAGAAATTTATTATAAATAATATAATAATATAATTTGTTAAGGCATAGTAGTTGGGAATTAAATGATGCGAGTGTTGGGTAGTTATTAGCTTACCATATTAGTTGGGCGGCACAAAAATTAGTGTGATTTCAGTTGAACTTTTATGTCTTTAAATTTATTTTCTCATATATCTCACCTACTTTTCTTTTTGTTGCATTCTTGTCCAAGAGAAGTACTTATTTTTATTACTGATAGGAATTTTTTTTTGGGATATATTAATAAATATTAATTAATTATACATTTGAACTTGGTTGAGTCCAATTTTGGTTTATTATTATTTTTTGTTTAACTTAGTATTCTTATTCTTTTAAAACGATCAATTTAATTATTAAGTTGATGTTAGTTATATGTTTGTATATCTCATGTATCAATTTTTGAGATTTTTTTAAAAATTCTTAAAAATATAAACGTGTTAAGTTATGGTTATGTCAAGTTTAGTCAATTTTACTGTTGGTTATTTTTTGTTTGGCTTTTATATTTAAAATTTTGATTTAATTTAGTTTTAAAAATCAATCTTTGAATGGTTACAGTCAAAACTTAGTTGAGTTAATTTTAATTAAACATTGGTCGAATTTGGTTGAAACAATCATAATCAAAATTTAGTTCAATTGATCCCGATCGAACTTTGTCGAATTTGACCAAATCAGATATGATTAAAACTCAATGAAATTCGACTGGAGCTGTCATGGATGGTTGAGATGGTCATCCAACATTGATTGAATTTGGATGAATTAGCCTTGGTTGAAAATTCGGTCGAATCAGATACGATCGAAACTCAAATAAGTTAGTGTTAACTGAAATTAAAATCAACCAAATTCAGTGAATTAACTCTTATAAAAATTGACTGAATTTAATGAATTGTTTCAACCAAAGTTTGGTCGACCATTTTCAAATTAAAATACAATTTTAGAGACTTTCGTACAAATAAAATATAAAACAAATTAATTTTAAGTTAACAAGTATAATTAAACTTTAATTTTAGAAATTGAGTTTTAAAATTTTTATTATAATCTGTTTAATTTTATTATTTAATATAGTACAATTGATTGAACGGGAAATTCTTTTTCAAAAAATATTTCATATACTCTGAAAAAAAATCCATAATATATTTTACATATGAATGTTCCAAAAAAACATTAAAGACATGAGTTTTAGAAAGTCTTTTTCGAAAATTTTATTCTGAAAAATTCATTCATAAACACATTTTATATATTCTCAAAATTACATTCTAAAAATGTTATTCTGAAAATTCTATTTTTAAAATTTTATTCTAGAAATTTTGGAAACCTTGTTGGTTCGAGGAGGTGGACAAAGAAATCGAGAAGTGCAGAAAGTAAAGGCCTACAACACCCACAAGAAATCTGTGTTGGATGGTCCATATAGTGACGGAGAAAGCGGTTCAAGGCCTAATAGAGATCGGAGGCGACGGTGCTGGCGGTTGTCCTCGTCTCAGCCTCGCGTGTTTTTGTCTCTGCTCTTTCATCTTTCTCTGAATCTCCGTGTCCAACCTTCCATAGCATTAAAAAAAGAACAATTATCACGATCAGATTCATGCAAGTAGCTGATTAATCAATCATCAGTTCTTATTCTTGTGGTGATTCCATTTTTGCCCCCTTTCGTGGCCAGAAACCATGGCTTTGGGATCGGTGTCTCGACGGTTGGGGACTAAACTCTTCCCTGCGTTATCTTCCACTCCAAGGCTACTACATTCTCACGCCACCAGTTTTGGTTGGTTTACACTCTCTACTCTCTTCCGCAATCAAATTTCAATTCTGAATTAAAAACTGGAAAAAAAAATGATGTTATGGCACATTTTCAGGGTTTAAACGTGTAAACGAAGAAGATAAGGCTCGCATGGTTGGTGATGTCTTCACGAACGTTGCTTCGAGCTACGATTTAATGAATGACCTAATGAGTGCTGGATTGCACAGATTGTGGAAGGATAGGTTTATATTACATTCTCATCTCTATAATTAATTGTAATAATAATAATAACAATTTCAATCATATAATAATTGGTGTTGGACTTGACTTACATTTATGATTATTTTCTGCTCAGGTTAGTTTCCAAGCTGAATCCGTTTCCTGGAATGAAGCATCTTGACGTGGCTGGTGGCACAGGTATGTGGCGCTATCTGAATGAAAAAAATGAATGAATTCTGAATTGATTAGTGGGAGAAGTTTTAGTTCACCAGCTAATTGACCAAACATATCGTCTGTCTGGTCCAATTTTGCTGATTCGTCTAGCTATTTTTTATGTTGTAGCATGTTCAAGTACTAAGAGCACAAAAAGAGATTGTTTTAATAATACTTAATTATTTTTTACTGGGTTATACAAGTCATAAATTAAAATATATGTATGTGCTTGATATGGTGGTATTTTAACTTTTGAACAATAAGTTGTATGTGCTCCATGTGTTTAAGGTTGTCTTATGGAATGTAGTTGTAAGATGTTTCTGTATTTATTTAACATAAACTTTGCTTCTTCTCAATAAAATTCTCAGGAATTGAAGTGATGTGCTGTTGCATGCGATGCTTAAAAGTTTTATGGGTTTTTGTATCAAGCTTAAAGTTATTCATTTTACAGGGGATGTTGCTTTTAGAATCTTGGAGAGCATAAACAAAGTTAAGCTGAGAGGACTTCAAGATGTTTTTCAAGATACTTTAGAGGCAGAAACTCGGATTTATGTATGTGATATTAACCCTCAGATGTTAAATGTTGGCAGACAGCGTGCCTTGGAGAAGGGTAAATGAGAATGCCTTAAACTGTCAATGATTAGTTTAAGCTTTCATAAAGGATTTTGGTTTAATGTATCTTCATTTGCTGGGAATGAATATTTTCTGCTTATTATAATAGGTTTTGGAGAAGATGGTTCCCTTGTATGGGTGGAGGGAAATGCTGAAAGCTTGAGTTTCCAAAATGATTCAATGGATGGTTATACTATTGCATTTGGGATAAGAAATGTCACACACATAGAGAAAGTACTCAGTGAAGCTCATAGGTAGGTTTGCACTTTTTCAAGAATTTGCTATAACTTGTATGCCGGAGCAGTGATGGCAATCAATTAAAACGTATGATGAATCATTATTATATTTATTATTTCTTTTTCTCTTTAACAGGGTATTGAAACCAGGAGGAAGGTTCCTTTGCCTTGAACTTAGCCACGTTGGTATTCCTATATTTAAAGATTTGTAAGTATCATTTGCGAGAATCATGAGTATTGGTGGGTTGACATATGGTAAGGAAAATTGAGAATGACGATATGCATTCTACTCACGTTTGAGAAAGAAAATATAACTAAGATACACTTTAATTTACATGGAAAATTCAAATTTGGATTCTCGATTGGGTTTTTCTATGTTGTTCTTTTAGAGCCTTTAAAGTATAATAGACACTGATTTTGATGTTTTAAAATATATTAAAAAGCTTTTGAAGGTACAGTAAAGGACAACACAAAGAAACCTAGTCGAGAATCCGAACTCGAAAAATTCTGGAAACCCCTTTGGGATAGATATGAGTAGATGATAGGATGAAATGATAGTTCTCTAAATACAGGCATTCCTTGCCAACCAAATGTAACTATACTCCATAAACTGGCCACTATTATAGAATCATGGCCTCCTTTTGTACTCAGTCAACTTTCAGCTTGATGTTACTCATCTTCTTTTGCATGTAGGTATGATTATTATTCTTTCTCAGTTATTCCATACATGGGCGAGCTGGTTGCTGGTGATCGAGAATCCTATCAGTACTTAGTTGAGAGTATCAGGCGTTTCCCCTCACAGGTTATCACACTTTCCATCTATTCATAGCTATCCATGTTCTTTATTATCTGTTCTCCAGTTTTGTGTAGTTTTTATTTAATATCTATAAACGATGGAAAACTTGCTTATGTTTACTTGGCATCATGAGAATTGTGCAGAAACCTCTCTTATGGATCTGAAGGAATTTTTCTTCGGAGTCATCTACTTCTTTTTTCTTATTGTGTTAACTTATGTGTTGTAATTGATGAATTCCAGGAAAAATTTGCATCAATGATAGCCAATGCTGGGTTCCAGAAAGTAGAGTATGAGAATCTAGTCGGGGGAGTGGTTGCTGTCCATTCAGGGCTAAAAATCTGATATCCTTAGGAACTTTGCTCTCTATTATAGCCAATAATTCATGAATTGAGATTGAAGATCGAACGTGATGTTATTCATTAGAAGTCGTAGAGAAGATTTGTACTGTTAGAATGTGTACTGTAATTTCCACCGGATGGCGCTTTCAATTCTTTTGGTGTAATAATATTTAATTATTTTTCCAAAATAATAAATTGTTTCATTGAATTCATCACTTCCATTGTTAGTATTACAATTCAATTATGAATTCATGCTCAAATTTTCAATAAAATTAAATATACGACGAAACTTTAATTAAAATCTCATTGACCAGTGATTCTAAAAATTTCAATGTGAAACTCAATTACGCACTGAAGTGTTATATTAAGAGAATTCCGTCAATTATACAATTTGAAATTTGTTGGATTGATTCGTGCAATAGCGTAAAGGAATAATGGTTAAGTGGGTTGGAAGTAAAAACAAACAAGTGATGCCATGATTGTTAATTAATAAACGGAGCCATAAATTAATTAATTAATAAAATATAAACGAAGATATAAAGCAATGGTTAATTTAAGTAGCGTGATGATCGAATTGAATGAAGCATATTGCGTGTACACAGTTCGCAAGGCAACGGAGTGGGTCCCACCTACTCCTCCAAATGGATAAAGTCATGAGAATTGCGCCTCCCTCTCAATCCCTTACCTACCATTTTCGCCACGTGTAATCCGATGTTTGCTTCGGATGGAGCCTCGGTTACGAGCCACGTACCCACCCACCACTCTTTTCTTCTAGCACTCACTCCCAGGTTTTCAACTTTCACCTGCAACTTCCTCGCTATTTGTTTCTCAGTTTCCCTTCGTTAAAAACTCTCTCTGCTGTTTCGTTTCACTCTTTCCGGAATCGTCTTTCGTTCTGTTGTCCTTTTCCTCTCTGCAAATCTTCATTCAACAACATCTCTGGATTCTGCTGTTCTCTGCGGCTCGATCATCGTTCGTAACTTGCTATATTTTCCGTTTGTGTTCTCTTCAGTTCGATCATCGCTCGTAACTTGTTACTTAGCCGTTTGGATTTTCTGCACTTCGATCATTGTAGGTTGCTACTATCCCGCTGGTTCTTTCCGTATCACTACTATTATTTAATTATTTACCTGTGTATGCTTATGTTTATTTGTATTGTAGTTTTAAACCCTCCTATTTTAGTGTATTTTATGAGAATTTCTTTGTTTCATTTTTTTATAGTATTGTTACAGTACTATTGTGCCGTTCATATTAGTTTTATTTAATTATTATTTTTATTTCCAGTGTTTTGAACTTGTGTGCAATTGTAAGGTGAATCCGTTTTTTGTTCGATTTTACGTATACACTTTCTGTTCTTTTTAGGCTCCTGGAACTTTGAAACTTTCCCATACTTGAATTCAGAATTTTAAATAAGCTTTAAACAGTGATTTTGTTATTGTTGAAATTTTTTTCTTTCATGATATGTTTTAGTTAATTACTTTAAATTTCAAAATAAGCCTAATTGTAAGCTTGATATTTTAAATTGGTTGTAAGCCTATATATTGATAGGTATTCTCATTTATGAATTCCAGTGGTTATTTTTCTCCACTTTTAATCTCTCTACATTTCTATATTTTTATTTTATTAATAATTTTAACATTGGTGAACAGCGAGTACTGAGTGTAGTGTATTCTAGTTTTTTCACGTTGTGTTTTGTTGTTTTAAATTGTAATTTGTAATTGATCTCGCAAAAAAAAAATTTAATTTCTATTTATCGTGTTTTGAACTAGTGTATTTTTACAAGGATGAATCTGTTTGATTATGCATATATGTGTCCTTTTTTTGGTGCACAATGAGGTCTTAGTGTAATCTACCCTTTTCCTGTTTGTGTATGTGTTTAAGACAAATATGGCAAGTGCTTATTATTGTGCAATTGCTGATATTTGAAGCTGATTTGGCAGTTTTGGTCTTTGGCTTTTAGAGGAGGTGTTCTAGGTAGAACTTGTTAATGGATTCTAGAGAAGTCAATTCCTGAATGCTCAAGTTGCTGAATCTTATTCAGCTATTACTGTTTCTGGTTTTTTTAATTGGATGAAGTGATGCGCTGGTTCCATGTGGTAGCTGTTGGTTATTGAATGGATTAGTCTAGTGTTGTGCTGCAAGTTTTTTGGCTTATTGGTGACGGGAATATTTCCTGGATGGGGGGAGCATGTTCTAGGAAGCGAGAGCAGGACAATGAAGATAGTATTATCAGAGGACTATCACGAAGCTATTCTAGATGTGGGAGTTTGAAATGGTGGACATCCTCTTTTTCTTATCCATCTGTTGATTTTCACTTACGAAAAGGAGAATGTCCACCACTTTTGGACCTGTGCATACAGAAAATAAACGAGGTATTATTCTAACAAGATTTGTTATTTTACTTTGTTCGGACCCTATATATGTTGATGATTAGATCTAATCACTGCAATCTTTATCTGACAGGACATTGATAAATATAACTCATTTTCTATGCTGCCACGGGATATAAGTCAGTTAATTTTTAATAATTTGGTTTACTCGAGATGTCTAACCAGTGCTTCCTTAGAAGCTTTTCGTGATTGTGCTCTACAGGTAAATAATTCAAGTCATTATGAACCTGGTTGATTATGTGTTCTTGGTCTAATAATTATTTTTGTCACTTATTTTTTTTTTACAGGATCTTTACTTAGGAGAATATGATGGTGTTAATGATAATTGGATGGACGTCATCTCATCCCAGGGTTCATCTTTACTTTCTGTAGATCTTTCTGGGTCTGATGTCACTGATTTTGGGCTGACATACCTTAAAGATTGTGGAAGTCTAATTTCTTTGAATCTAAATTACTGTGATCAAATTTCAGATCGTGGACTAGAGTGTATCAGTGGTAATCTTTCTTTTCTTATCTGTTGTTATAAAATAACACTCAATGCATTTGCAGTTATTAATTTATTTCTCATATTTTCTCTTGGGTGTTAGTCCTTTGGCATCTTATATATTATTTTCTTCATCTTAAAAAGGATAAATAAAATATCTAAATATCCTTTGGTAAACTGTGTATACATTGATGTGGAAATGGGTTACGTATTGCCTTTTGTGAAAACTTATTTGAAGTTAGCCTAGGATACTCAGGCTGCCAGTTCATAAAAATAATTTTTTTTTCATGGAAAACTTTCAGTGAATGAAATTCTTGGTAAATGATTCTCAATTTAAGAACTTTGATCCTTCAAGTGATCAGTTAAAGGAGTAAGTATAAACTCATTGTTATGTCATTAAGCACTTTGGTTGGTTATTGGAAACTTTTTTACCAGAATTTTTGACGTAGTTTTCTTTATTCTTTTGGAAAATTTATTTCCTATTGACACACCTATTTCTAATTTACTTTTATTTTAATATTGAAAAAATGAATACATAAATCTTGTGCTGATCATCTGCATGGTATTACATTTTTTGTACTATTTTAACTATAATGCTAAACATTTTAATATATATCATGTTCAAAGAATTTAACTCTGGAGAGGGCAATGCACATGATTATTTTACCTGCATTGGAAATTCTGTTTCTTTCAAAGAATGAAAATGTTTTCAACAGCCACCCTTATCAGTTAATCCCATTTGACACAATGAATTCTGAATAGGGAGATTAAAGTGGGTTGCATGCATGTTATATGTAATATACTGTTTCCTGTTTACCCCTGCCATCTGTCTTAGCCTTTTTGTTACATAACATATTCGTAATTTTCCTCATGTGTCTTGCATATAATGTAGATATTCATGTGAAATTACTTACTTCTAGGAGCTTTGTCCATAGGATGCTTTTACTGAATGTTTTCAACAATAATAAAATATTCCAGGCCTGTCAAACTTGACAAGTTTGAGTTTTAGACGAAATGATTCAATTTCTGCTAAGGGAATGAGTGCCTTTTCTGGTCTTGTCAACTTGGTCAAGTTGGATTTGGAGAGATGTCCTGGTATTCATGGAGGCCTTGTTCATCTTCGAGGTTTGTTCTTAGATGCAATTTTTGTGTGAAAGTAAAGCTTAACTAACCAGTTATTGTAAGACATTCAAAACTGTGTTCAAATTTTAACTTCTAACTTATACAAGTCATAAGGCTGCTACTATATCCAATGATGTGGTATTGTTGTCTAATGTTTATCACAATTGTTAGATCTTTCAACTTACAATGGACATTGTGCTGTCAATGAAGCCGAAGACAATTAACTGAACATCCAAGTGGAGTAATATTTTTTGTGCTACCTTGTGCCTCTATTCTTGACAAGTTTTATGGAAAGCTAAAATAAGGAATCAATAACTTATTATACTTTTTCATAATATTAGTTGTTTCATTTACAATTATGTATTAGTGAACAAGTGCACCCTGTAAAAGGAGTTATATTACATTAGCTGTGATTCTGTAGCATGAACTCTTAGACAACAAAACAAACTTGATATCCATGTAATTTCTGTTAAATGATTTGGTCCGTATTTTCAGGTTTGACCAAGTTGGAATCTCTCAATTTAAAGTGGTGTAATTGCATAACAGATTATGATATGAAACCTCTTTCAGGTTTGTTGCAAAACATCTTGCTTTCTTTTGATTACAGTGACTTAAACTTTTACCCAAGATTGATTGTCTAGACTTTCTTTTATGCAATTAGTATGTTTTCTACTACAGAGTAGTTTCTACACATATTCTGCAAAGTTTATTTACCCTGAGTTTAAGGGTTTTATATCACTTGAGAAGATTAAATAGCACCAACTGTATTTGACAACAAAGAATTGTCAGCATGTCTTTGTGTTTATAGAAGTAAACATTGCCATCTTATTAGAAATGTTGTTCAGTAATCAACAATACAATTTATCTGATTCAATTTACCTCCAGAGCTTGGTAGCCTGAAAAGTCTGGAGATTTCATCCAGTAAAGTCACTGATTTTGGCGTCAGTTTCCTGAGAGGTATTGTTTTCCTCAAAGTAGTTTTATATGTCTCTCTTTAGTCTTGCTCTACATGTTGTATGTGAAGATGCAAAGGTCAATTGATGTTTTGTGCCCACTTCTTGTATATACCAAGATTTTATTCAATGAAGTTATACCTCTTTACAGGATTTCATAATGCAATGATGAACTATTCATGTTTTAAAGAGTCGATGTTTTATTTTAAAGACCAATTTGGTTAT